GCTCCTGGAAAGTCACATTAACAAGCCTAAGTCATTCATCACTAGGACCTAACCTAAACTTAAATCTCTGAGACGCTTTTATACATTGTCTTACTCAATCCCAGACATTAAAACGACCACAGCTTGAACTAAGCCTGTCGAGTGAATTTGCCGCGCACATAGAGCCACATAGTTTATTTCGAAAAAGAAAAGTTCATCATCCACAGGCCACAATACTGGCAAAACATTAATAAGCAAACAAAGCCGGACACATTTATGTACCTGTGTTTTTGTCCAGAAAATGGTTGTACCACATGATCGCCTTCCCTTTCTCTGGTTTAACGACAAGGTTACTTTTGTGGCAGTTTTGAGCGAGATTGCACTTCCAACCCTCTCCTTTCTCCCAAGCCTGCCAACAGAGGAACAGACAATTTACAAGTGTTGATGATAGTTAAAACTCCAAAACTCTCGCTTTGCGACAAGACGAGATATTTCTCAAGGATGGGATGCTAGTCCATCGCAGGTAAACTCTAAGAATTTTGTAATTGTTAGGTTGTTGTCCCAGCAAACTTCTGTGTTTTCCTGGGTGGAGAGAGGAACTGTGTAAATACAATTACTATATGCAAAAAGGGTGTATTAATTACCTTATCCCAGCTATTCTCCGTAGCGAAAAGGCTACAATCCGATTCTAGTACACTCTCTTGGCAGAGCGCGAAGAGTTGGCTCTGTGACTGATTGTTTAGTAAAAGAAAGTGGACTCTAAACTAAAAGTGCGCCGCTATTAAAATTGTGACGTCCATGTGACGTCAGCCTTGGCAACACTAGTACGTCATGTTGCTTGGCAACCAAGCTGACAAAGAAATTTCTACGACGGGCTCAGCCAATACTTGGTGTCTGCAGTTTAACGAAAAACAGTTCGTTGTTCTGTCGATTGAATGTCTCTTATGCTCTTATAATCATTTATTTTCGTCCATACCTCTGTTGAAAACGTTTCGTTGTCCGCTAGAGGAAACGCTGTCTCTCCGCCTTTTTCGGGTTCGTTTAAGTACAACAAGACTGTGGCAAGTCTGCAATATAGCAATAATAAAGTTATAAACATGTTTGATTTTGTTGCACGCGGAAGCAAAATTCTGCAAAACGTCTTTAGTTTCTCTATGTTGATGGAGTATATGCTCCGTTCATTTATAATAAGTTCGAAAGGCAATTAGGGTTAGTCTACGCATGTATGTTCAAAATCTGTATAGTAGTTATACTTTCTAAGAATGTCTTGATAACTTTTAAAGCTTTGTTTGATTACTACATCGCACGGTAGTTAAATTACTCAAACCTAAGGGCTTTAACTCTGATGCCTCAAATTTCCTGTGATGGGACGCGACCTTAACACGGCTTATACCCTTCGGTGGGATTTGAAACTGAAACTCAGGGAAAGAGAAAGCATGCTCTGACTAATTTTGAGTGCAACAGACCTTTTTAGCTTGGGTGGTTTGTTGCCCCGTTTCAGACCATGTGATGACACTCTTGAGAATTCTTGCTTTTAAATTTCAAATAGTCGCTGTATATAAATGAATAATTTTTAGAAGGATTAAAGAACCATTCTCTCGATAATATCACGTGGTCTGTAATGGGAAAACAAACCACTCAATCTAGAAAAGGGCTATTTCTTTTTTTTTATTCTTGGGGGAAACTGAGTGACCTCCCCGCTTGCCTCGTGGTCTTCACAAAAGGAAAAAAAAAGTTGTTGATTATTTTATCAGTCTTTACACTCCTAACCTGCATAGTCGACAGTCTTCGTCTTTGGAGAAAGAGCAGCACGGCAGGTCCTTTTGAAGTTCATCTGAATCGTGATGACAGTGGTAATGGCCGTGAACGTCATACTTAACGACCTGACATGAGTGAAAAAGTGAAATGAGATTATAAGCATTTTGAATGACGGTTCCCAAACTCATTGATAATTCATCAAGTTAAAACAAAGAAAATCACAACCGTCATGGAGGTTTGGATACCTGGTCTTAATTAGCATTGATTTTGACGATTTTACTTCTCCGTTTTCTCCTTAGTTTTTGTTGTAATTGAGGAGATATATCAAACACTCGAGACACTGTTTCATTGGCTATCCAAACATCTCAACTCTCTTCTCGGTGTTTGGATATCCCAATGAACATGTTTCGATATCCCGATGAAACACTGTCTCTATTTCGGAGCATAGTAACGTTTGTTCTGTAGCATGAAGGGCAATGAAGCCGGTATGAGGATTGCTACTCCTGCCCCCCCCCGGGACTCTGGGCACTTTGCAAACTGTCAGGTTTCTTTGCAGTTCGCTAGTACTCATTTACAATCCTGGATGAATATAGCGAGAGTGAGAGTGTCTTGCCCAATGGCACAACGTAATGACTCTGGCTATTATCCAGTCAAACCCAGACAGCGTCTATTCGGAGTGACAATGCGGTAACCACTGATAAGGGCAGCGGTTCCCTTTCGTATTTAGCAACAATATCACATTGGCCACTTATTCGTTTTAAAGTTTGAATGAAAAAAAATGTTCTAAAGCTCTTGAAGAATAGCGGAACATGAAAGTTCAGCTTCAAGATTCTTCTGCTTCAAGTGACGGTTAACACGGTTACGTACCTGTAAAGGTTCTGTACTTTTGATAAATTCTTCTGGAAGTAGACTTAAACGCGACAATCTAACAAAAAGAAGAGAAAGAAAATAAATTGTCAAGAGGAGAAAAGGACGCGGAGAGGCTAAAAACTTCAGTTTCAAGAACCTATTGGTACTGAGGCTAATGTCCTAATACAGAAAGCAATATTCAGTCTGATTCCAGAAATAATTTGTCTCAGCAAACAACGCGAGTTGGTGCGGTGCAATCATTACAAAAAGCAAGAACGACTTCTCATTTTAGTTTGTGGAATCCTAATAGCAGTTTGCCACGCAACTATTTTGCCAGTTTCACGCCAACGTTAGACGCCGACTGGCGCATGGGGCATTAACAAGTCTCCTCCATCTTTGTCGCTCCTTGGCAAGCCGTGTGGCATGCTCCCAGTTGAGGTTTAGGACCTGAAGTTCTGCCTCTGCAGTCCTCCTCTAGTTGGATTTGGGATGGCCTCTCTTCCTTTTACCCTGTGGTGTCCGTCTGAGAGTCTATTTTCGAGATGTGAGTGGTTTCTCTACCTAGCACGTGACTGATCCAATGCCAGAATTTTTACTAACTGTAGTCAGTTTCCTCGAACCTGTGACGTCACTTTTGTCTGCAGCTTGTCACGCAGCATCGTTGTGTGTCAAGTCGTATATTGAACATTGCGCGATGTAGACAACGCCTTCACTGAAAAGATATTTTTTAAAGATGTTTTTTGATTGGCACCAGTCTCCTACCTGCCGTGAAAATCCGAGAGGATTGGGTACTTGGGATCATTGTGAAACATCCAAACTTGGCGACTATTGCGACTGCGCAGTCGAGGCTTTGTCCTTCGTACTTTGTCGAAGTAGTCTTTCATGACTGGAACAGTTACTTTGCTGAATTCTTCAAAATCGATTTTTCCTAAAATTAGAAGGAAATAAAAAAAGGAACGAATAGGTCGGTTTTTGACCCTGAGAATATACTTCTCGCTTAGTGTAAGTTGATAAGTGAAAACTTCCAGTGGCAGTAATTCTACATATTGATTGCAATCATCACCAATAAGTATTTCTTTCCAAGCACTTACCTGGTCATTTTATTTTCTCGTTGCAACATAAATAGACTGTTAAAAGACACAGTGTTTGGCTTTCAAGTTGAAGCGAGTCACCGAAACAAATTGCATGTGTATGTTTCGGGTTGGAGTGGTGTCAAACTGGGATTTGGAGGAAAGGAAAGGAAATCATAAACGTGACAAACTCGCAAAGCAGGATTTTCTTTACTATTGAGCGTAAAAGTAGCGACTGGCGTCAAAGATATTTATTTTGGTGTAAAAATTAAACTATTAATTGACAAATGGATGAAAATAATTTAATAAGTGATCTCCTGTCATGCATCCACTCCTTGCTTGCATTGCGGCGTTGCTTGCTCAATATGATAGACTCACCGTTGTCATCTTTGTCCATGTTAAGATCTTTAAACCTAGTAAGCAACAAAAAATATTATTCATGAAAAACGCTGTACATTTTTAAGCCACTTTGGAAGTAATTGCTCCGCTCAAATCGAAGGTCACCCATCAGCCGATCAGAAGACGCGATCGATGAATGTTATTTTATAATTAATAGTTATTGGCTTTCACAGATAATTCGTTTATTCGAGCAATAGCAAATTTTGCAAGGAATGTGAACTACAGTTACTGTTTGTGTAATCTTACAAAGGAAGAGGTAATCGCAATAAAGAAATATTCCTTACATTTCAAGAAGATCGTCCTCAGTGAAATATAGGTCTTCCTTTCCACGAACATGCATTATCTGAAAGATTTACAGCAAATTATACTTCTGTTATGTTTGCTTAAACTATTTATTAAACTAAGCTCTGACTAAACGATGGCAATGAATTATTGTGTGGGTTTCAAGTTGAACGAAGAATTTGAAAAAAAATCAATCTAATCAAGCTGAACTAAACTTGCAAGCGTTCGAAATTTCTTCAATTGTCATCCATTTCTTTAATTAGCTATAGTGATCCCTCAGGGCCGGATTGAGCTAAATCAGGGTGAGCGAGGATTTTGATTTCAGTTTTGTAACTTTTCAGCGAGGTTTTCTGTTTATCTTATTTTTCCTTCAGTTTTGAGTTTGAATAACCTCAAAGTACATAAAACAAACGCAGTCAGTGAAAAATTAAGACTGCGGCCGGCTAACTTTTAATCCTGGGTTAGCGTCAACCTAGCCTGCGAACGCAGACGTATTCCTGGCTGTCGCTTGTCTAGGCCAAAAAATAACGTCTGCGAAGCCTAGCCAGGAAACGATTTCTGTGACGTAATGACTTTTGTTTCCTCTTTGGCCAATCAGATTCCATGATAGAATGAAACTCGAGTGCTTCTCGCAGCGAATACCTCGCGCAGTAGTTCTGGGGCTATTTGAGCTAAACTGTGATTGGCTTAGAATTCCTACTTCACAGAAATCGTTTGTTGGCTCGGGTTCGCAGACGTTATTTTTCGGCGGAGACAAGCGACAGCCGGAAATACGTCTGTGTTCGCAGCTTAGCTCAACCAGCTTTCGAACAACTTGGCCCTAAACCATAAATTATTGGTCAGTTTATTCTGAAGCATGTTCTTTACGAAATAATGACAAAAAATCTTTCAATTCTTTTTATCTAACATGGTAGGCCCTTCAAAGGGATATAGGCTTTCCGCATGAATACCGCATTAAGTTTGGTGAACGGAAGTCTACAGAATGTTCAAATCCTTTTTAAACGATGTTTCTTTTTATTCCGTTTCATGAGGAGTTTCTATTTTCTATTTTGTCGTGCGGCTAGTCACGTTTTGTGAACACGTGATCACGTGATTTTTCTATCGAGTATTCATTAAAGATGTCGATTAGGGTTTCAAAGCCGCATATTTTGTTGATATTTTGTCAAAATACATCTGTAATTATATTATCAAGCATTGAAGGAGTTGACTAAATCAACTGACGATACATACTTCAACAGGCTCTATAAATCCGTCACCGTTGTTATCCCATATTTTAAAAGTCCTCTCCGATGTTTCATCATCAATGGTCTCGTTTGCCTTGGCAAGAGGACTCTTCTCCAAACCAAGGCGCTTTGCGTAGCTGATCAGGTGATCACATTCCACATCAGTCAGAAAATTTGAAATCTCTTGAATCGAAATCAGAACAAAAGGCATTTAAATAAAATTTTCAGCGAACACTGTCTAACCAATAGAGATAGGGGACTCATCTCAAGTTAGTTGTGTGCTCAGTTACCTGACCCATAATTGGAAGCGAGGCTAAAGGTGACCTTGCTTTGATACAAACGTCTGTTTTCCGCATGCATATATATATGTGAACTAGTTAGGACTAGAACAACTTGATTTACACAACGAAAGCAGTAAGGTCTGTGTCAAAGCAAGGTAGCTTCCAGCTTCGCTGCCATTCAAAGGCCAGGTCACTGAGCAGACAACTGTAAAATAGTCTTGGTAAATTCGGCATATCCTCGACTTGTAGCTGATGCATCTTCAAATAAAACTCACCAAATATCGGCGGTTTCATGCTGATCGTCTTCACTTTTCTTTTGTGAAATGGAAACATCACCACCTCTTCTTCATGACCAATCTTCATTTAGAGAGAAAAAATATTAGAAATGATAATGAGATTGCGAAAAGAGTACGGTATCAAGTATTAAGTTTTGCCAACACAGCTGAAAAAGAAAACAGCGGTCAAGAAAATGTTTCGTATACTCTGATACCATATAACTAACTCCGCCGTTATTCAGTGATAAAAGGATGAACATAAGCGCAGGTTAGTTGAGGGCAAGAGTTCTGGGCCAAGTTTTTCGAGAAGCGGTCAATGCGTTCCCAGGATTAAAAGTTAACTGAAGTATTATTTTTCCTGTATAACTTGAATGTTTTTGAGTGTTTAGGTTTTGTGTAGTTTGAGATCATTCAAACTCAAATCTGAAGGACAAACAATATTAACAGGAAACCTCAGCGAAAAGTTACAAAACTAAAATCAAAATTCTCGCTAGCTAATCCTGGGTTAGCTTAATCGGGCTTTGAGCAACACGACCCTGGTGCATAGGGTTAGGCATTGGGATTATCAACATGCAAATTCCTTGTACTCATCTCTATACATTTTTTTAAGCAACCTTAGGGAGAATTTGAAGATCGTGAAAAAGTTTCTATAAATGAAACTGGGATGATGGAAAGGAAGGTGACTTTTTTCAGTTAAGTCGCTTTTAGTTATTGCGTGAATACAGCTTATTTCGATACCTACCACTTTGGATGTTCACGAATTAATTTTTTCTTGCGAATACCCATTTGGTAGGGACCACTCACAAGCGATTGTATCCGCAGCCAACTATGACGTCGAGAATATCAGAATTATTTTAAAATGACAATCGATCTGATATAGTCAAAGACGAGCTGAATAAAGTGGAGAAAATGTTTAAGTTAAGAACACTTTCAGAAATATCCGTGTTCGCTAAGATCTCAACTGACGGATTGTGTGTTTCAATTAAAAGAAAATGCTTTACACACGTGGTCGTCTGAGTTCGCCAATTGCCTCATTATAGTAAAATCTTAAGAATAGCTGATAAATTGACTATAATTACTATCGTTCGTTATATCAGCAAGTTAGCGTTCAGTTTATCAGTTAACGATACCAAAATAGTGTTCTTGAACCATTTCAGAATTTTAAGCTTACCTTCACCGGCTCACGCAGTTTTGGAGTCCATTTGGTTTTGTCCAATTCCTCGCTGCTCACTTCCAATAAGCAGTATAGTAAAACAAGACCGAACACGGCAAAGTATCTCCACTTTTCCATGCTTGCTTAAATCGAGGGATCTTCTCCTTTGAAACCGTGTGATAAATGAAGATTTGTATGCGAGGCTTGCGATCAATATGGATTTTGCAAGGTTTTCGGGCAGGTTCCTGCACACGAACAAAGCAAAGGTAGTGACGTAACAAAAGGAGTCTTAACCAGTACTGACAGCTGTTGGGTAAATTTAGTGAACGTTTCTACACAACACATTAAGCTGGTAAAGAAGACCTAGTAACTGATATTCCGTGGACAAATTCAAAACACGGTTGTTTCTGGTAGTCAATTCCTCTACAAAAAGCGCCCGTAAACTTAATTTTATATGCGAGAATTCTTTTCCATTCGAAGTATTGGAAATATTGTTTTCTGTAAACACGTGTTTTGCAATTTAAATGTCTTGTTTTTGGAACAGGTATAAAAACCGGAAAGAATTCTCGCGATTAAAAATTCTTTTATCTATAATGAGAAGTGATGAAGGGGAAAGTTGTAATCACAAAATTGTGTGTTTCAGCCGCAACCTTTGTTTAATTTCTTGCTGTGATCGGAAAATCAGCGGAGTTGCCCTTTGCTAGTTATTAAATATGCACTGCGTAAGTGTATAAAAAGGTTGAACATCTCTCATAAAGAATTATTTTCAGGTATTGATGCAAAAATTGCGATGGCAACACCCTGGTTTTCTTCCAGCCTAGCTGGGCAAAAATCACTGATTTCATGGATTTCACTAATAGACATATTGCATGACTACAATTCGTGGCGCTAAAATAATTTCATGCAAACACAAAATAATAAATTTCTGAAAAAGAGGTAAACTGTAAAAGTGTTCAGGATCCCATTTAAAAACAGATCACCGAATTGGTTAGAAGTACACATTATATCTAAGTAGTACTAACCGTGTAAAAAGTAAAACTTTAAAAAACTGGGGTTAGAGTACCCATAACTCCATGAAAAACCTCTTAGCTCTTGCCTTAAACTTATGTACTTTCGTAGCACTTCGAGTTTTTATTGGAAAACGATTCCAAGTATCTGATATTTTGTGGAAAAACACTGTGTTCCAACACATTTATCCAAGCATATTTCGTTATGACTAATTATAAGGGAGTAGCGGTCCCCCTCTGAATAAAACTCAATATAGATTTTCAATTTTGATTTTTTTTTCAATATTGATTTTCATCTTGAGTTCCTTAAAACAGAATGTTACATCAGCCAGCATTTTTCTCTTCTCCAAGGACAGAACTGCTCTCACTAAAGAGTTGTTATCAAGAATTGTTCCAAAAATTGTAATCGCAAGATGAATCATTTACTTTGGCTTTGAAAACATATAATAATTGTTTCTTTATTCCGCGAAACATAGCAGCTACGTTATGCCGTTCTGTTCATTTTGTTATTTGTTCTTCCCGTTAAAGCAATTGGTGAAACAACTGGAAACATATCAGTCCTTTTTGAAGAATTAATTTCACATTGCCTACTTAAAATTGTTATCGCACAGAGTTTTGTTTTCAATGGTTGGAAAGCATGAACGGCAACTGTAAACACATGTTATGCAATCTAAATGCTCCTTGGGTCTTTGCTATGTTTGGATTAAACAACACCAAAATAGCGAAGAAAAAAAGGCAAAATCTTTTTTGAGCTTTTGCAGGCTACAATACTTAGGTTCACTAGGTAGACCTTTGAAAACTAATTAGAGTTTATAAATTAAAGAGAAAAAAGGGCGACAACAGCGTGTTTACGCCGACATGTGCCGAAAAAACAAACAAACAAACAAACAAGCAAAAAACAAACAAACAAACCAAAACAACAGAAAATTGGAATAAAGGGACTATCGTTTTCCAGATCAGTGTACAAAGTGGGGAGAATTAATCTTTTGGTCTTAGGTTCTATATGCAATTGAGTAAATACTGCAAAAACGTCACAGTATTATTGAGACAATATTTGTCAATGAGCCGGTTGAGTTTTCTTTGAGCAAATAATCAACTAGGCACAGCCAATCTGAACATCGCTCATCATGAAATCGAGTGCTAAGAATACTACTGTTTTGGTGGATACTATGATCTACAAAATATTGTCTACAACATTAATTAGGTATTTTTTACCCCTAAAACATGAAAAATTTCATAACGCACGCGCTATCATTGGTCTATCAGCGGGTAGACAACGGCGAAGGCAACCAAACATATTCACGGACTTCAAATAGCTAGCTAGATGAGGCCATATAAACACGAAAAAAGTACTCTATTGCTTTTATAAAATATTTCTCAAGAATTCGCGTGAATCTAAAACATCACAACCGTGTTCACATACTCTCATCTAAACACACCTATGGACCAATGAGAGGGCGCGTAGTATCTCAGTTATGTTATAAACTGAAACAATACACACATAATAAACAATTAAATCCACTAATCCTTGTACAGTTACGATAAGCGCTATAGAAATAAAAAAAAGTTGAAAATATGAACAAGAGAGGTCAGAGAAATTACTACTGACAACTTAAGTATGTAAATTCCCGCTCGGACATCTACGAGAGAAATAACGAAACGACAGCAAACATTTAAAAAAATTTTTACAGTTATTAAATCTTAATTTACGAACATCATTTAAAGCTAATGTAGCAATAAAATGAACCCTTTCTTCAGCTATACCGCGATAGGATAGCTTCGAAGTGGCCGGGTTTTCTGCAACTAAGTCAATACTGTTCTTGTCCCATAGTACGTTGTCTGTGGCTTTAGAGAACTGCGCCGATGACATAACCTCATACCGTTGAACCACGTTTTTTAGTATCTCGGCCATTCTTTCGCGAAACTTCTGGGGAACCACTCCGCAGGGGATAGGTCCATAACATCTATAAGCAGCCTCTTCATAATCTCTCTTGTAACGCTTTAGTTCTTTGCTTTTTTGATAGCAGAAGTCTAACATTTCTTGGGTTGGACGACAGCCAGCAGATCTAGATGCGCCATTTTTCTCCTCTGGGCTGTCGTGAAAGTCGACGTTGAGTTTTTTGCTTTCTACCACCGAGGGTGTGGAGCTTGACTTTCCTTGACCTCTTTGAGCCGAAGAGTTATCCATTGCGCTCAGCTGGACCTACAGATTTCGGGTAGCCAAGAATTCTAAAAGGCATTCACTTCTTTGCTTCCTTGCGTAACCATCATGACGCACGGAGATCATTCAGTGTCATTTTCCTCAACTTCAGCATATTAATTTTTAACTTTCTTTGTATTGCCGTTGAGAAAGATTACGCAAATGAACAATATTGCGCAATAGTTTTTTTAAAAATAAGGTCGTTTATGCTATGTATTTATTTATTTGATTTTGGGGCCAAAAGGTTTTGAAAGCGACAATGGTAGGTAATAGATGAGTTAGTTTGGAGCGAAAGCACACAGATGCAGTGTGTTTTGCGTCAACTTATAGGCAGAGTTTTCATTCCTAAAATTATCATCAATATCATCTGCGAAGTTTCTGACAAGATAGAGCATAGTAGATGTTTTCCATGAATTAGCGTCTTTTATAATTCTAAAGACTGTTTGATCTCGTTCATAATTTGTTCTCTAAACAGGCTGGTACGCATAAGCCGACATACGGTACGGTACGGATAGTACGCATAGGCAGGCGTAGTAAGATATTCAGCGATAATCAAAGGCTTTTGACAATAGATCTTTTCCGAGCTGCCTTTTGTCTCTCTGCCAAAACGAGTCTACGTGCAAAACCATTTACATGACGATGTATTTCGACTGTTCCCCTCACAGGTTCATTTTCATGGAAATCAAAATCATTTTCATATGAAAAGTTTGAGGACTCGTTTTGAAACAGAGGAACACGGTAACTCGGAAGTGGCCTATTTCCAGAGTCGGCTTTATGAAGTGTCCGGGAACTTAAAATCATGGATTACACAGATGGCAGCCACTAAAGCCTTCAAGGATGTTACTTAAATCAAGTCTGCGCATCCGGGTTTAATTGAGTTTCATGTTCCGTAGGGGCGAGGTGTCTTTACCGCTACAATATTGTGTAGCTTTGAACTTATGAATAAAGGATCGCCGCTAATAAGTGAACGAGTTTTCATTAACCTAACTTAAAAGTAATGATTAATATTAATTGATGCTGCGTAACGTCGACGTGGTAACTAGAGGAAAAGTATTGAGAAACTCTTTGTGTGTACGTTTTCAAGAGGAGTTTTAGTTCGAGGTTTCTGTCTTGAGACTCTGACCGAGGTGGCCATATCCGTATTCTCGCTATTGGACTAGATCTAGCTAACGATGATGGCCCATGCAGGGAGTACAAAAACTTTGTACTAAGATTATTTGAACCGTTTTGCAAACTTCTGCGCGACCCTTTTAAATATCCCCTCAAAAGAAATCATTTCTAACAACACCAGATGTCGAAAACAAATTTTGAAGTTCATGTGAAACACTTGAAAGTACGGGTGAAATGAAACGGATGTTGAAATTTTACCTGTGTTTGCACAATTGCTCTGATTTTTAGAATTTAATTGCTCGAGATTCCATGGGAAATTGTCTTTGGCGTCATTTTATGCTACTATTTACATCTTTAGCTTTTAGGAAATGCAAAACGGTTTTTAATATACTTAAAATTATTCTGGTACTAGGTTTTTGTCCACGGAAAACCAAATTACTCGATCCCCTATCGGATTTCGTCTTAATATCATTTTCACTTGAAAAGATTTCCTGCATCAGCCCCAGTTGCAAGCTAGTTCCAGCTCAATACCGGGAATAAGAATACGGCCTATTCTAGAGCCATATTTCGTAATCTTTCTCAGCGGCAATACAAAGGAAGTGAAACAAAACGTTGGATGATCTCCGTGACGTCATAGTGGTTACGCAAGGAAGCAAAGAGTCGAATTATATAATGAAAGAACTCATCAAATAGTTTGACAAACGATCAGAAATCCTCATCCTTGGCTACCCTAACGCTCCAGGTCCAGTTTGGCGCAATGGATAACTCTTCGGCTCTAAGCAGTCAAGGAAAGTCAAGCTCCACATCCTCGTTGGTAGAAAGCAAAAAACTCAAGGTCGACCCTAAAGACAACCCAGAAGAGAAAAATGGTGCGTCCGCTGGCTGTCGTCTAACCCAGGAAATGTTAGACTTCTACTATCAAAAAAGCAAAGAACTAAAACGTTACAAGAGGGAATATGAAGAGGCTGCTTATAGAGTTTATGGAACTATTCCTTGCGGGGTGGATCCCCAGAAGTTTCGCGAAAGAATGGCCGAGATACCAAAAAAAACGGAGCTCTACAGTATGAGGTTATGTCATCGGCGTAGTTTTCTAGAACCATAGACAACGTACTATGAGATAAGAGCAAATATTGACTTAACTGCAGAAAACCCGGACACTTTGAAGTTACCCTATTGCAGTATAGCTGAAAAAAATTGGTATATTTTCGTCAATGTTAATTTAATAACTAAATCTTTTCAAAACGCTTTCTGTCGTTTCGGTCTTTCTCTTGTAGATGTCCGAGCGGGAATTTACATACATATTTTGTCAGTAGTTACCTGTCTTGTTCTCATTTTCATTTTAATTTTTTATAGTACGGTACTTATCGTATTAGTTCAAGGATTAGTGGTTTTGAGTATTTATTATGTATGTATCATTTCAGTTTATAAAATAGGAATGTTTAGATGAGATTCTGTAACCACAGTTGTGACGTTCTAGATTCGCTCGTATTCTTGAAATTTTTTTTTGAAAGCGATAGAGCATTTCTTCCGCGTTTACATAGCCTCGTCTAGACACTCAGGGGCTGGAAGAATTCTCGAAATTTGTGTAAGCCCTTGACTTCGTTTCGAATTCACCGAGCCCTCCTCGTGTTTTGAGGAGGCTATGTAAACACGGAAAAACTCAAAATAGAAATCTGAGCTCGTAATCTAATTGTTAATTAAAAACATCAGTTGTTGATCATAAAATAGAAGTCGTAAAAACAATAGTGTAATGACATGTATTCCAGATATGGAATACATGTGCGAAACACATGAACCCTGTCAATCAGTTTTGAGAGTATCAACGTCTTAATTTAAATAGAGATTAGAGATTTAAAAAAAAATAATAACTCGAGGGGTTTTGTTGGAGATGCGGCATGTAACTTCTTTAGATTTTCAGTTACCACTTTGAAACCCGATTTTAAAACTCAATAACGATTTATCCAGTTTAAACAATGGAAATCATGACCGTGACGGTGTTTAGATATCTGATCTTAATTAGCAAAGATTTCTAAGAGTTTCCCCAGTTTCTCCTAGATTTAGTTTCGATTCAGAAGATATATCAAACACCGTGTTCAACCACATTACCAAATACCTCGAAGTTTGTCAAAAATACTCCGCTGCGCGTCGTATTTACTCTCTTCTAGGTGTTTGTTTATTGTGGTCGAATACGGTCTTTCGTGTTTGTTATCTTACTAGACAATTTTTGGTGCTGATGACGCGATATGAGTAAACGTATCAAAGTGTCACATTCAAACTCAGAATGCTGTATCACATTTTCTTCACTCTCTGGTGTTGTCGAGTGCAGCTCTTCTCTCAGCGTTTGTACTCTCTCACTTTCATGTTTAACTGTACTTAAAGGAAACACTAAGAAAAATAAACAATTTTAAAGCGTCCTGTGTTATAGCGAGAGATGTGGTACTAAATTCTGCCCATTGGGTTCACTATAAGAGGAACACAAACAAGTTTAAGTTTCGTGTGCAAATTTCTCGCGATAATTTCAAGTTCTACTTGATCCAGTTCTTCTAAGAGAAGCATTATAGATTGCATTATGCGATTGCCCGCGAAGTTCTGCGACGGAAGTTGACCTACTGAAGGCCCTTTTGGAGTCATTTGCTCTTCCGTGAGGGGAAGAGGTGAAGACGTTTCTGTTCTTGTTGATTTTGGCCCTCTAGGGACAACCTCCTGTGAATCATCTAAAATTTCAACGGTTGTTTCTTCGTTTGTCATGATATCACGGTCTTGACCGCGTCTTTCCTCTGATTCGACTGTTCCTCCCGTCGTAGTAAGTTCGTCTTTCTTGGACGAGTCCTCTTTATTACTCATAACACTATGAATATCATCCCGCCCCTTGTTTTCAGAGTCATTGTTATCTCGCGTATACTTATTTTCAGTTGCCGCTTCTTTCGTAATCTCTGCTTGTAAAGCATATGTGATATCCTTGTTGTAATTGTTCGGGGCGAGCCAGTTGTGTCCCATCTTCCAAGCCCTAAGCTCCCGCTTGCCGTCGCCGTTGATGTTGATCCAAATTTTTGCCACCCATTTTTCTCCTTTTTTAACGCGACAGCTTCCTTGATAGGAGAGAGGATCTAAATTGCCAATCCATCTGTTTGCATCATCAAGCAGGTGATTATACCACAGAAGCGCGGTACCTCTCTGTGGCTTGATGACCAAATTTGATTTATCGCAATGCTTAACCATGTTGCATCTTTGGGATGTCTCATTTGACCAAGCCTTGAAGAAACGATAATAGAAGTGAAAAGTTAGAGTACCAAACACCCTACGTACTGAATGGCAGAAAAGGTAGATTTTGTGTCAGGCCTGTGGTTCATGCAGCCGGGGCTTTTCCCGGTTTCTGTAACATTAAGCGTCTAGGAGTATGTCTACCTCACCCCTCCTTCTCTCCTGAATGGGATGCCAGTCTATCGTAGGGTTAATCCCATCATTAAATTCGCCCGTACCCATTAATATACGTGGGTGGAGAGAGGCACTGTGGGAGTTAAGTGTCTTGTCCAAGAACACAACACAGTGACCCTGACCAAAGCTCGAACTCAGACTTCTAAATCCGGTGTTCCGCGCAATAACCATTAGCTAGGCTACCGCGCCTCCTCCTACCTAATGGACAATGTATTGAAAAAAAACGTAAGAAATTAAGATGATTTCCGCAGAACATTCGAGCAATAATGGCAAAAATTAAGTTACCAAACAATCCTCATGGCATGGTAATATTTTGAATACAGGTAAGAAAACTTATCGAGAGAAAATTGAACTTGAAGTTATCACATTTCACTTAAAACAGACGTTTCGTGTTAGTTAAAAACACAAAAACACACTCTTTAAGCATTCCTATGAGGTTTGACATTAACTTTCTCGAGAATGTTTGACAATTTAATCGCGGGGTCACTTAGAGAAGTGCACTTAAGTGATTAGTTTTATATAGTATCCCAATAGTTACCGTGCTATGAGTAGATTTTAAGCAAATAATTTTTGCACTTATTGCTCGAACTTTGAGCGGAATCCGTCTCAAATGGTGGAGAAGGACTCTCCACTTCTTGTGAGATTTTGTTTTAAAGCACGAATGAGGTTGCTCATGTTTTGAAGAGAGCTGTGTTTTTGTTTGTTTACCTTCCAACTGAAAGTCGCGTTATCAGCAACAGGAAATGCACACTCGCCTCCTTCCTCTACGTCATTCAGAAAAACCATGACAGTAAGATATCTGACAGATAAAGTAACATGTTGAAAACAAGTGAGAAACCAATTGCGAGAAAGTGAACTTGAGAAAAAGTGAGTAAACAAATTTATTTCAACCACATAATTCTTTCAATTGACTTTGATGACAAATCAACTGAACACTCGTCCTTTATTTTCTTTACACATGTATATGATGTGANTGTCCGAGACGACAAGATTCCACCTGTACAATAGGCCATTTCCGAATTACCTTTAGCCTCTTTTTCGAAGCGAGTCTTGGTGCCCATCCTTTCATATGAAAATGAGATTTCATTCACATGCAAATTAAACTCATTTTCATATGAATGCTTGTGCACCAGGCCTCTCTTTGATAGAGAGGCTGAAGGCAACTCGGGAATGGGCTTTTCGTTTCCACGCGTCATTCGTTGCACTCCGACAGTGAAGTCATGTACTCATGCTAAAGTTGATATTTGAAATGACCTTGCTCAGTGGATAGAGCGCCCGCCCGGTGTTCGGGAGGTCATGGGTTCGATCCCTGTCGGGAACTCAGATTTTTTTCTTTGTTCCACGCTCGTGTCATGTTGATTAGTTCACTTTTCACAATGATATTTCCCATTGGCCTCCTGACTAGGTCAATAAACACAAGTCATTGTGACATTGATATCACTCCTACCTGTCGTGATAATCTTCAAGTAGCCCTTCGTATTGTAAAAGTTCGTCATCATCGTGCCATAACCAAACTTGCTGACTACTTTGACTGCGCAGGCGCGGTTTCGACAATTTGTCTTTGTCAAAATAAGCGTTGAGATTTTCCAATGAACTTTGTTGTAGTTCCTTCAGGGTGACCTTCCCTAATCAATACATGTTAAAGTAACTGTTAACAATTCCACATGTTCCAGTTAAAGGAGTACTGTTCATTTTCAACAGGAATTTGATCAGAGGGTCAAACAGGGGGGGGGGGGGGG